AGTGGCATCTACATCTATAGAACGTGAAGAACCAGTGGCATCTACATCTACAGAATGTGAAGAACCAGTGGCATCTACATTTACAGAAAGTGAAGAACCAGTGGCATCTACATCTACAGAACGTGAAGAACCAGTGGCATCTACATCTACAGAAAGTGAAGAACCAATGGCATCTACATCTACAGAACGTGAAGAACCAGTGGCATCTAGAGAACATGAAGAACCAGTGGCATCTACATGTGCAGAAAGTGAAGAACCAGTGGCATCTACATCTACAGAACGTGAAGAACCAGTGGCGTCTACATCTGCAGAACGTGAAGAACCAGTGGCATCTACAGAACATGAAGAACCAGTGGCATCTACATCTACAGATAGTGAAGAACCAGTGGCATATACAGAACATGAAGAACCAGTGGCATCTACAGAACATTAAGAACCAGTGGCATCTACATCTGCAGAACGTGAAGAACCAGTGGCATCTACATCTACATAACGTGAAGAACCAGTGGCATCTACAGAACGTGAAGAACCAGTGGCATCTACATCTACAGAACGTGAAGAACCAGTGGCATCTACATCTACATAACGGGAAGAACCAGTGGCATCTACAGAACGTGAAGAATCAGTGGCATCTACATCTACAGAACGTGAAGAACCAGTGGCATCTACATCTACAGAACGTGAAGAACCAGTGGCATCTACATCTACAGAACGAGAAGAACCAGTGGCATCTACATCTAGAGAACATGAAGAACCAGTGGCATCTACATCTATAGAACATGAAGAACCAGTGGCATCTGCATAACGTGAAGAACCAGTGGCATCTACATCTACACATCTACAGAGCGTGAAGAACCAGTGGCATCTACAGAACGTGAAGAACCAGTGGCATCTACTTCTGCAGAACGTGAAGAACCAGTGGCATCTACATCTACAGAACATAAAGAACCAGTGGCATCTACATCTGCAAAACGTGAAGAACCAGTGGCATCTACATCTACAGAACGTGAAGAACCAGTGGCATCTATATCTACAGAACGCGAAGAACCAGTGGCATCTACATCTGCAAAACGTGAAGAACCAGTGGCATCTACATCTACAGAACGCGAAGAACCAGTGGCATCTAGATCTACAGATAGTGAAGAGCCAGTGCAATCTACATCTACAGAACGTGAAGAACCAGTGGCATCTACATCTACAGAAAGTGAAGAACCAATGGCATCTACATCTACAGAACGTGAAGAACCAGTGGCATCTAGAGAACATTAAGAACCAGTGGCATCTACATCTACAGAACGTGAAGAACCAGTGGCATCTAGAGAACATTAAGAACCAGTGGCATCTACATGTGCAGAAAGTGAAGAACCAGTGGCATCTACATCTACAGAAAGTGAAGAACCAGTAGCATCTACATCTACAGAACGCGAAGAACCAGTGGCATCTACATCTACAGAACGTGAAGAACCAGTGGCATCTACATCTGTAGAACGTGAAGAACCAGTGGCATCTACATCTACAGAACGTGAAGAACCAGTGGCATCTACATTTACAGAACGTGAAGAACCAGTGGCATCTACATCTGTAGAACGTGAAGAACCAGTGGCATCTACAGAACGTGAAGAACCAGTGGCATCTACATCTACAGAAAGTGAAGAACCAATGGCATCTACATCTACAGAACGTGAAGAACCAGTGGCATCTACATCTACAGATAATGAGAACCAGTGGCATCTACAGAACATGAAGAACCAGTGGCATCTACAGAACATGAAGAACCAGTGGCATCTACATCTGCAAAACGTGAAGAACCAGTGGCATCTACATCTACATAACGTGAAGAACCAGTGGCATCTACAGAACGAGAAGAACCAGTGGCATCTACATCTACAGAACGCGAAGAACCAGTGGCATCTACATCTACAGATAGTGAAGAGCCAGTGGCATCTACATCTGCAGAACGTGAAGAAGCAGTGGCATCTACATCTACAGAACGTGAATAACCAGTGGCATCTAGAGAACATTAAGAACCAGTGGCATCTACATGTGCAGAAAGTGAAGAACCAGTGGCATCTACATCTACAGAAAGTGAAGAACCAGTGGCATCTACAGAACATGAAGAACCAGTGGCATCTACATCTACAGATAATGAAGAACCAGTGGCATCTACAGAACATGAAGAACCAGTGGCATCTACAGAACATGAAGAACCAGTGGCATCTACATCTGCAAAACGTGAAGAACCAGTGGCATCTACATCTACATAACGTGAAGAACCAGTGGCATCTACAGAACGTGAAGAACCAGTGGCATCTACATCTACAGAACGTGAAGAACCAGTGGCATCTACATCTACAGAACGTGAAGAACCAGGGGCATCTACATCTACATAACGTGAAGAACTAGTGGCATCTACAGAACGTGAAGAACCAGTGGCATCTACATCTACAGAACGTGAAGAACCAGTGGCATCTACATCTACAGAACGTGAAGAACCAGTGGCATCTGCATCTACAGAACGTGAATAACCAGTGGCATCTACATCTACAGAACGTGAAGAACCTGTGGCATCTACATCTACAGAACGTGAAGAACCAGTGGCATCTACATCTGCAGAACGTGAAGAACCAGTGGCATCTACATCTATAGAACGTGAAGAACCAGTGGCATCTACATCTACAGAACGCAAAGAACCAGTGGCATCTACATCTACAGACCGTGAATAACCAGCGGCATCTACATCTACAGAACGTGAAGAACCAGTGGCATATACAGAACATGAAGAACCAGTGGCATCTACAGAACATTAAGAACCAGTGGCATCTACATCTACAGAACGTGAAGAACCAGTGGCATCTACATCTACAGAACGTGACGCACCAGTGGCATCTACATCTACAGATAGTGAAGAACCAGTGGCATCTACATCTACAGAACGCGAAGAACCAGTGGCATCTACATCTACAGAACGCGAAGAACCAGTGGCATCTTCATCTACAGAACATGAAGAACCAGTGGCATCTACATCTACAGATAGTGAAGAACCAGTGGCATCTACATCTACAGAACGCGAAGAACCAGTGGCATCTACATCTACAGAACGTGAAGAACCAGTGGCATCTACATCTACAGAACGTGAAGAACCAGTGGCATCTTCATCTACCGAACATGAAGAACTAGTGGCATCTACATCTACAGAACGTGAAGAACCAGTGGCATCTATATCTACAGAACGCGAAGAACCAGTGGCATCTACATCTACAGAACGCGAAGAACCAGTGGCATCTTCATCTACAGAACGTGATGAACCAGTGGCATCTTCATCTACAGAATATGAAGAACCAGTGGCATCTTCATCTACAGAACGTGAAGAACCAGTGGCATCTACATCTACAGAACGTGATGAACCAGTGGCATCTACATCTACAGAACGTGAAGAACCAGTGGCATCTACATCTACAGAACGTGAAGAACCAGTGGCATCTTCATCTACCGAACATGAAGAACTAGTGGCATCTACATCTACAGAACGTGAAGAACCAGTGGCATCTATATCTACAGAACGCGAAGAACCAGTGGCATCTACATCTACAGAACGCGAAGAACCAGTGGCATCTTCATCTACAGAACGTGATGAACCAGTGGCATCTTCATCTACAGAATATGAAGAACCAGTGGCATCTTCATCTACAGAACGTGAAGAACCAGTGGCATCTTCATCTACAGAACGTGATGAACCAGTGGCATCTTCATCTACAGAACGTGAAGAACCAGTGGCATCTACATCTGCAGACCGTGAATAACCAGTGGCATCTACATCTACAGAACGTGAAGAACCAGTGGCATCTACATCTACAGAACGTGAAGAACCAGTGGCATCTACATCTGCAGACCGTGAATAACCAGTGGCATCTACATCTACAGAACGTGAAGAACCAGTGGCATCTACATCTACAGACACTGAAGAACCAGTGGCATCTACATCTACAGAACGTGAAGAGCCAGTGGCATCTACATCTACAGACCGTGAATAACCAGTGGCAACTACATCTACAGAACATGAAGAACCAGTGGCATCTACATCTACAGGAAATTTTACAACTTTTAAAGCCACTCCCCGTGTTTAGTGTACACGTCGTACCCACGCGTTTGGAATCGACAGGACTTAAAGTTGTAATTACGAACAAATCGACTTACGAACAGAGCCCTGTACAAACATCATCATCATCAGCAGCAGCATCATTATCATCATTAGCAACAACGGAACAACTTTAGCACAGATAACAGACTTTTCATGATGCTGCTGCTGCTGATGATGATAGTGTGAGTGTGATGTTGCTGCTGCTGCTGTTGATGTTGATTATGATACTGATATCATGACGCTGATGTGTTTCATGTAATTATTGATGATTCTGCTGTGAAAGATGATCGTGCTGCTGCTGATGATGATACTGCTGATGATGATACTGCTACCTGCTGATGATTCTGTTGATGATGATACTGATGATGATGACGCTGGTTTTTATTATGCTACTGCTGTAGATGAGTTTGCTGATGATGCTGCTGATGATGATGCTGCGGATGCTGATACTGGTGCTGATGATGCTGCTGATGATTCTGTTGACTAGCCTGCTGATGATGATTCCGCTGATTATTCTGCTGCTGATGATGATTCCACTAATGATGATTCTGCTGATGATTCTGCTGCTGATGATGATTCCGCTGATGATGATGATTCCGCTGATGATTCTGCTGATGATAATGATTCTGCCGCTGCTGTTTCTGCTGCTGATGCTGCTGATTCTGCTACTGCTGCTGCTGATGAGGATTTTACTGCTGATGCTGGCTGCTGATGCTGCTGATGATGATGATGCTGCTGCTGCTGCTGATGATGAGGATTCTACTGCTGATGCTGGCTGCTGCTGCTGATGATCCTGCTGCTGATGATGATGCTGCTGCTGATGATGATGATGCTGCTGATGATGATGCTGCTGATAACTCACCCATCATGTCGGAGTGAGGGTCGCCTCTCAATCACCTCCCTCTCCTCCCCTCCCTCC